GGCCACGGAAACTTTTCCGTAAAAAGTGCTTTTGCAGAAAAGCTTCCTGCCAATCTAGACGCGCTTTTCCGAAAATGCTTTTAACGGAAAACTTTTCTGTTAAAAGCATTTTCGGAAATTCATGCCAGTGTAGACGTAGCCCTTGTGTATTAGGTTTAGATATCATGTTTTGCTTTGTTTTTATTTTGTTCATAATGTATTTTGATCTATCTGCTATCACTGGCAATCAGTTACATCCTAGGTTTTATATTTAATAAAATCACTTTAAAATGATTAGGGTTGTTACCTCTGGGGGACAACAGTTGTGCATATTCTCTCATTGATCAAAGGGGGAAACAATTTATGAGCTTGCTCTGCATAAAACTTGAATACAGAATAAAATGGATTTATCTCAGGTTCTCGTACCATTGGGTCTGTGCTTCTGGATGCTGTGTCAAGAACCTGTCAGTCGCGAAGGTCTGTGGCGCTGATCTGATCTCAGTGTTTGTGTTACTCTGTGATGAGCAGTGGCCCCAAAACTGTGTCAACATGAGAGGAGACTGGAGGGTATGCCTCAGCAGAACACGGTGGTGGGGTACGCCAGAGAGCAGGTTGAGAGGCATACTCAGTGGCATTTCAGCACATCAATGAGTGTCTCAAAGGGATCTCTGCCTAAACCCATCAGAAAAGCTAAATGTTATACAGCTATATAGGAAATCCCTACCCCCAAATCACTTACAAAATAACTTGAGACAAGATGCAGAGAGTGGATGAGGAGGAAAGACATGGTTGCACAGGTTAGCTAGGTTCTGATCCAGCAAAACATTTAATCAAAAGTTTAATGGCAACTTTTCCAATTAAATCAAAAAATGTTTTCATGTGCTTAAAGTTAAACACAAATTTAAATGCTTTCCTGGATTAGGAACCATGAACAATGTGTTGGTGCTGAATGACCTCAATATTTTGTAACTATTACAATAACTATGACATACAGACTTTGGAACACACATGACAATGTATTCCCCTGTGAGGAAAAGATTGGTGACTAACCTGTTCATTGTACACTTCACAATAATATGGAAGCAGAATACCGGGACAAATAAATACTTGTGTATCTTATTTTAAAATAGCTTATTTTGAAATTTGGCGCATCTACACAGAGCCAATTTTCAAAATAACATGCTATTTTGAGCCATCTCTAATCCTTCATGCAATGAGGCTTACTGGGATGGTGAAATAACGTGCCCGTTATTTTGAAAAATATTTTGAAATACCGGGCGGCTTGTGTAGACACGGGGTAGCTATTCTGAGATACCAGAGGTATCCCAAGATAGCTGTGCAGTATAGACATACCCTAAGAGTGCGTCTACACTACACCATTATTTCGAGATAACTAGCATTATTTCAAAATAACAATGTGAGCGTCTAGACAATCATTCTGTTATTTCAAAATAATTTTAAAATAACAGACGACTTATTCCAAAATCTGTAAATCTCATTCTACAAGGAATAACGCCTATTCTGAAATAGCTATTTCAAAATAAGGTGTGTGTAGACACTCCATTGTTACTATTTTGAAATAGCTGCTCACTAGGGCCATTCGAAGTTATTCCTCCCCAGTGCCTTCTGGGGCTCTAATTCAAGATAGTACGTCTACATTAGGGAAGCCTGCCTTGGACTAATTTTGAGGCTTCCCTGCAGTGTAGACAAGCTATTTCGAATTAAGCTATTTTGGAATAGCTTATTTTAAAATAGGGTACATCTATACTGCACGCTTAAGAGAAGAAGGAGTTGAGTTAATGCTGGTAAGTTTTTAACCTTACTTATCAGCCAAGTGTGAATTGCCAGTTTCACATACACTTTTTACTCACATGAAATTAATGGAACAAGTCACGTGGAAAAAGTTAGAGTTACGCATAACTGCATGGCTCACAAGAGGTGGAAAGGCAAGACAATGGGGCCCTGAGCTCATGTGTGCCCCCAAAATATCTGTAACATCCGTGTGACAGGGCGTCTGCCCTGCACTGGCCCTTTAAGACCAGGACTCAGGCCCAGAGCCAGGGCTAGAAAGAAAGAGGCCAGCTGGAGCTATTTGGGGCTAGGGAGAGCCTAGCTGGCAGGCAACTAGGGCAGCACGATTGGCTTGTAGAAGCCAGCTGAACCCATTAGGGCAAGTGAGAGCCCAGCTGACAAGGATCCAGCACAGCACTAGTGGCTTGTAGAAGCCAGCTGTAATCATTAGGGCGAGTGTGAACCCAGCTGGGAGGTATATATAGTGAAACACAGGTTGCTTGTGGAGGGGAGCCAGTGGAGAGTTGACTGCAGAGGAGCTCCTTGGAGGGAGACAAGCTGTGGATAGCCAGCAATAGCTGGAAGAGGGCCAGTCAAGACTCCCGTGGCTGAAGGCAAAGCCGTGGTTTGGAGGCTGACTTTGATACAGCCTATGTAAGCAGGGCAGTTGAGACAACCCCGATGCCTATGATGAGCAACCCATACAGACTGTAACTTGCCCTGAGAGGGGCTATATAAGGACAGTCAGGGGGCACTGAGGTGCAAGGGGGGGGTGAACCCCCTGACAATCTGGATAAATAAAGTAAAATGTGATGGATTGGGGCCCCAGTGAGAATGAAGAAGTGGAGTCCCAAATTTCTCATACTGCGCCTGCATAATGGTTTAAAGAATGCAGGCTTGGGTCATTTATTCCAGCACGTACTATAAAATCAAATTCTTCCCTTATTTGGGTTGCATAGGTATATTTCATGAATAGACTTGCAAGATTTTACTGATGGATTGGTAGAGTAAAAGAAATATAAATAATTAATACTAAATATTACAGTAAATAGTTTCTCCATTACCTTTTTGTATTCCTTTTTTTAATAATAGCCTGTTCTCTAGCATTAGGCAGCAGGAGTGAGCTAAGGAAAAGTGCTCTTCCAACAATCAGATTGTATACTTTGTAGGTAACATAGCTACTCAAGTGACTGAGCACTTTATTAAATCCAACGGTATTTTAAGATGGATTATGTGGACTTCGTTCCAAAGAAAAAAATGCTTGTGTAGTATTTCTGCAAATTCACCACAAATCAATATAGTGTTAGTAAGCAGAACTATAAAAAGGTAGATTTTTCCACACAACGCTGACAGAAAAATAGTAAAAAAACCCCAAATAAGTGTTTTATTTTTTTATCTTTTTGTTTTGAAAGTTTCTGTGAAAACAAAGAGCTACTGTGTCTCAGGTCCTACAATAAATAATGAACATGGCATCCACTTTAAATGTTAAATGCCATTTAGCTGTATGTCTATGAAACGTATACTTTAGGTCAACTGTGATTCTCCTGACAAGAAAGTGACAATTAAAATATTGAACTCGTTAATTACAAGGGAAGGATAATATATCTCTTTTGCAGCATTATGCTGTTCTGACTCAGACACCTGATATAGACAATCATCTCTAACCTTTAGGTCAGAAATTATCTTTAAAAGAGTGTTTAGTTATGCAGAAGGATGGTTTTATGGTGAAGACCCTCAAAGTCAATCACCATCAGCCAACTGTTCACCTCTCACCCTTTAAAGCCACTTTTCTGTTTGGTTTTCCTTTACATTGGCATTAACTATTCCTTTTCATGTTTTTAATGACATTATTTTACCTTAATTATTTCCTTATCACAGCACTGCTGCTTATAAATGAGAAACAGACACTCTGGATTTTTTTTAATCTTTTTATTTCAATAAGAGAGCGATTGCATTCAAGTAAATGATGTTTTTATTACAGAGGTTCTCTTTTCATTGCTATGGTTGAGATTATGCCAGCATACCCATTAAAATCCCCTCATATCAGGGATTTAAAATCCACTTGCTCCAGGCTGCTACTTGACACACAAGGTCTCATCCAAAAATAGATGTAACTACATTTATTTTTTTATACAGGGAGGAGGAAAGAAATCAGTAAGGTAGTTTTTGAGTTAAGGAACTGCAAAAGAAACTAAATCAAGAAATTAAACAGCTAGAGTTGATTGACCTTTTAATCTGATGTTTAATGTATAAATGCACTTCTTCTGATTTTGGGGGTTCTATTACTAGTTATTTGCAAATATTGGATTGAGCTTGATATCTTTGAGAAAGTACATGTTGTAGTGGTCAATTGCAGAAGAACTTTGTATGTGTTAGTTTAGGGATGGTGAGGCCTGCATTCTTTCCCCCCTTTTCCTTTTCCCTATATCTGATGAGCCAGAAGCAAGTCTTTGGGAACATACGTCATTTAAGATAAGCTTTGTTGCCAGCATAGCAGGAACAAATATGAGATAAGGGTAAAGGGCAAGAACGCATAAACAATTCTGTTTACCCTAACATACTGATCACGTAAACAGGGCCAGAGAACAAGTAGAACTAGAACAGAACCAGATCGATAACTAACAGCTAAGCCCTACATCAGCACGTATTGAGTAACCCCTGGAAATGTCCAAACTGCAAAACAAGGCAAGGAAAATTGTATTTAAGGCTGCCTCAGAGCCTAGCAAATTGGACCTCACTGATGGGCTTTGGGTACCGGCACCTCGGAAGCTGAGACAACTTCCCACTTCATCTGCAGCCTACCTGGGGTTCCAGGCTTCCAGGAAGGGACGTAAGATATGCCATTTCTTTGTTATGCTGTTCTTCCAGTTATGGGGCACAGCTGTTAGCGGTCAGGAAAATAAACTACTTGTGTTTGACAGATACCTGTGTGGTGTATTTTGTACTTTGGGAACCCAGTGTAAGACCTTAGACTTACTCTGGCTGGCTACACATGTACATCTGGAATATTTCACATTTCATTTCTGTAAATCAGGGGTTGGGGAAACTTTTTTGGATCAGGGGCTGCTGACCCATAGAAAAATCAGTTGGGGACCACACAAGTGAGAAGCAACAGCGGAGGGGGTGGGGATGGAGCAGCAGAGCGGGCACTCTTGCTGTAAATCATGGTGCAAACCACATCCAATAATTTCACTGTTATCCTTCTGTTTAAACTTTCAGATATCCAAAAAAATAGTGAAAATAATAGCAAGTGACACAAGTGAGGAGCTCCCTTAGATGTTTTAGAGAAGAAAAATACCTGAATAATTTTCTTAAAGAGTTTTTGAAAAGACAAGTAATATAAGCAGAATATCCACTTTTCAAGTTTAAAGCTAGACTATTAGGTAAGTGACAGGCTGTCCGAAAATTAGTATTCAGAATGGGTCTGAAAAGTTACCGATGACAAATAATTGTGCAAATTTCTATACATTGCTAAACTTTGAAAGCAAATTCAAATCTGTTTGTTTGTTGCTATTTGAGTTACCAATAATGCTAAACACCAGGAATGAAATGAGTTTCAACTAAATGAGGCTATGTCTACAAAGCAGCCTTATTTTGGAATAACTAATGTTATTCCAAAATAACATAGCCTGCATCTATTCTACAAGCAGTTATTTCAGCATAATGTCAAACTAGAGGACTTCCTACTCAAACTCCTGTAACCCTCATTGTAAGAGAAGTGAGGGAAGTTGAAGGAAGAGTGCTCTTTCTTGGACTTCCTGCTTTTGTAGACAGCGCCAACAGCCTAAATAAGCTATTTCAACTTAAGCTACACAATTGATGTAGCTCAAGTTGCATAGCTTATTTTGGCATTAGCCCTGCTGTGTAGACATGCCCTAAGGGTTTAGCTGTTGTGAATTGGCATAGCCCAACTGAAGTCAATGGAACTGTGCTGATGTAACCAATGAAGGTACAGTGCACCCAACAAGAATGGTGGCAGATCTAGACAGCAGCACAATACTCACAATTCAAAGAACAGCTGCTCCAGAGACACATCAACCAGGAGTCACAGTTCATATTGCCAGAAAATCCCAATATTTACCTCCCTTAACCTTGTACAACTACAGTCCCATCCCAGCTACCTCAGAATCTAGTTAATCTGAAATAATTTATGTACAAATGCTACTTCTTCTATGGTCTATAATACAATTGTGTCAACTCCACTGTAGGACAGTAGAGAAAATGTATATCCAGGAGGTAGTTTGTAGTACAGAGCAATTTCAATCATTCTACAATATTTAAGCATTGCAGCCCCGCTTTATAAATCTAATAATGATAGTGTTACAAGTCATTTCTGGAACAGTTCCAATGTGGGGTTTTTACTGTAACAAAACTAAAAAGCAGCAGCATGGAGCCTCCTGTGTTGTGATGTTTACTAGTTCAAAAGTTCACAAATTATGTTATAATTAACACTTATTGTCATTTGAAAAATGGATTCATGTTTGTGTCAGTTTAGCTAGTCTGTTGGCAGTTTTTATGTCTGTAGGCTTTTTGGAGGGAAGAGGAGAATTTCACCTTTATTTTAATTGCTCTTCGTGAGATAGCTTTGAAACTGTGATATGTTCAGAGTATGTAGCAGCATAGACTACAACAAGGAATTATTTTTGAACAATAGAAATTGGATCCTATTTCCCTGTTTAATGTGACATTTTTGTTAGTATTTCAAAAAGTAACTTGATTTCTTAATGTATAAAGTGGGGAGCTCATTATGTTTTATTGGACTGGTTTAACAGAAAAAAAAACATGGTCACTGAAAACCCCCCAGCAAATTCTGAGAATTTACTCTTGGAACAACTTTTATCTTCTTCTCCAGACCCCTGCACCTTGTTTAAGACAAGAGTGCTCTTTCTACACTTTACAGTTGCAAACACAAAGGATATGTTTACACTTCCACATTTTGCTGACAAAATGTATGATAACACCCAAAAGTTGAAAGAAAAATCACTAGATGGTGTTCACACTTGTTCCCTCTGTCGACAAATCATATCCACACTGGGAGCACCATCATCAAAAGTGTGAGAAGTGCACTGTGGGTATGTATCCTCAATGCAGTGCTGTAGGAAGGCAGAGCTGATTGCTGCACATCTTGGAATTCCCTAAGTTCTCCCATAGCCTCCTCAGCTGCTGGGAGCAGCATCATGAGTAGCTCTGTGAGCTCTCCATGCTGAAGAATGTTGAAGCAGCACTGCAGCCAGTCTCCCTCTCTCTTCAACAGAAATCTGTCTGCTGCTGTGTTCCTAGTGCAGGGCAGCACAGGAACAGTCAGTTTTGCTCTTTGTTTGTTTCCCAAATGGAGCCTCTGACTCAGCTGTCAGGTACTTCCTGGAATTGTGAAAGGGGAGAGGCAGCACAGCAGAGATCAAAACACTAGGCAAAGTAATCAGGGCATTGTGGGATACTGGCAGAAGCCAGTTCTGTCAACAAAACATATAGCAGAATCCACACCTGTTCTTTGTCAACAATAAAGGGAGAGAAAAAGACAAAATTTCTCATAGGGTAGAAGTTTTCTGTCCCCAAAACTGAGTGTTTCTCCCAAAAAATGTTGTATTGCAATATATATGCTCTCCCTGCATTGTTGCCAAAAGGCAGATTTTGGTGACAAAACTTGGTAGTGACAAAGCCATACTCTGATTCTGCAAACACTTAATCATAAAATCATAGGGTTGGAATACCTCAAGAGGTCACTGAGTCCAACCCCATGCCCATAAGTAATTTTAAAGCTCATAAGTAAGGTGTAAAGCTCATAGGTAACTTTTCACACATGGAGTAGTCTCATTGATCTCTCTGCGGAGATAATACATGTCCGGAGTTCTCAGCCCATAGGTTTTACAGTATAAACTGCTGTTATTGTGTCCTTATGATTCAGCAGAGCAGAAGGGTGGCTTCTTCTACATAGAGTAAGCATTGCTTCAATGCTATGGACAAACCTGTACATGTGAACACTTGTTCCTGTTAAGAACCAAAGCCAGAGGGACTGCACATGCATTTCATGATTCAGTGGACTGTACTACAGTATTTTGCAATGGCATTTAGATTTGTATTAATGCCTCTCTTCCTGTTTTCAGATCTATTTGCAGGTCTGGGTCTGCCACAGCTTCAAGATTAGCTGCACAGTCCTTCACCCCCACTTCATCTCTTCAAGCACAACTTCTTAATGTTTAAGTTCCCATTCATCTTTGGAGTACTGCACAGACACAACATTTGTATCTGCATCCACATCTGTATCTGCAAAAACGAGCTATGGATATCCTCATCCACATCCATAGGTGTGAATCCCTGTAGATTTAAAGCAGATATTTGCAGGGCTCTACTGACCTGTACCTTTCTTTCTCTTTGCTGCTGACTTGAAGAAAAAAAAAAGGCGGTGGGGTGTATGTGTTTGAGGGTGAGGGGGTTAAAACCATATGTACAGATGTTATTAGAGTAAAAAGTGGTTGTAGATCTCCCATAAACAAATTTTTAAATGACATTTGATATGAAGAGAGTAAGACCAATTATGATATATTGTAAAATAATCTTAAATTATTTCAGCAGAAATTTCATATATAAAACCAAACACTACACAAAAAAATTTTTTTTGATTAAAATCTTTACAGGTTCTTCTTATAGATGACAACAGTCTAAAAAGTCTAACAGCTGTATTTTGAGGGGGGAATAATGAAAATAACTGATTTAGCAAAGCAAATCTTGTTGAAGTTGCTTATTATAGAGCTTGTATTTTAACACGAGCCATCCCTTTCTGGTAGAATTCCCAGTCTTCTTGCAATTTCCTATTGTGGAATTAAATTCGATCTTTCACAACAAACTTTCTCATTCAATTGCTGGTTCAGTTACATAAAATCTTTTCTTATCTCAGAAAACACAATCTTACCTTGAGTTTGTTTCTAAGTCATTTACCAAAACCCTGTATTTATATCTGATTAATCATTCTGTGAAATAGAATATGTATCTGTTTTGAAAAAAAATCTAAAATTAAAAAAAGAATAAAATAAGAAACATATTAGGCAAGTATTTCCCTCTCCATAACATAAATTTCCACTTAGTGAAGATATGCACAGGTATTTTGAAGATGATTTCCAATTGGGAGAATTCTGCACACCAGGTAATGTTACTCACCAAATTCATTTCAAAAGCATCTTTCTGCCTCCTTAATTAATGCAATAGTCTTCCCTACAAAAGTTTTCCTGGAAAAAATAGTGCCATTTTTAACACTACTGCATTTCATGATTCAGTGGACTGTCCTACAGTATTTTTCAATGGCATTTAGATTTTTATTAATGAGTCTCTTGAAAGAACTTTAAAATATAAAGATGAGTAAGATGTGGCTTGTGACAGTCCACTAATCAAGAGAAGATACTTTGATTCTGATACACACAAATGTAGTTTTTTTTAGAGCAGATAATTGTGCCATTCATAAAGCATAGCTCAGAGACCTCTATAGTGTTCTGAACTGAGATAGGAACTGAACCATAAAGGGATAGGAACATCTAAAGTGAGTGTTTTACGTGAATCACCCTGCCCACCCCATCTGTAAAAGAGAAGCAATATTTTAAGTAGAGATGGGATAAAACTTCTCTGCTCACATCTCCAGTCCAAGCCACCTAAGGCTTGTAAAATAAACAATTTGGCCTCTCTCCCCCACCCCTCAACTCCACATAGATAAGTTGAGTGACCTACTTTCCTTTCTCTGGAAAACTGGTGCAGCATCCCCACTTCTAGATCTCTTTTGCTACCTCAAGTTTTGGAAGTTACTCTGGAGTTTCTGCCTGTGCTTGGCAGACGGAAATGATGGAGGATGATCAAAGTAATAACACTTACCCCCTGAATGAAGTTTTAAAATAGTACAGCTGGCTTCCCTTAAGGCTGTGATTGCCAGGAACCCAGCCATAAAGGAAATATAGTAGATCTCAGCAAGAGTGGGTTATAGATATAGCTGAGCTAAAAGTGAAGATTTTGTCCCATGGGCAATTCTGACATTAAACATTCTTGCTTATATCCTGAATTGGCACAAAGCCGAAATACCAATATATTTTCACAGAACAAAAAGTTCCAGTTCAGAAAGTGTTAGTTTCATCTTGAGTCAGGTCAACATTAAGCTGCCTCTGTCTATGGCATCACAGTGCTTTGTGAAAGTTGGAAGTCTAGCATGTTTGTCAGTTGGGCTCCCTCACTGGACTACACCTCCTACAATATACTATATGGTTAGTTCAGAATGAAGTCCATATTGCATCACAAAAGATATAATTTGGGTAGGGAGCCCAGCACAATGGAAGGAACGGGGGCACCTTCACAAGATGCTATTTAATGCTAAGATGAACTTAAATGTTTTGCTTCAAGTTACTTGTACAAATTGAAGTATTTTATTCAAATCTAGACAACCTCAAATGAAGTACTTCCTTTTGACTTTTCCCAACTGAACTTTTTAAAAGTGTGCAATCAAACTTTTCCCACAGAAAAGTTTGATTTTGTAGAAATAGCATTTTCTGTTTTAAAAAATTATTTGGATGGAATATTCTTGGCTGCATACAAAGTAAGCATTTAGCTAGCATCTGAAAAAAAGTGCTAAAAGCTTCTTAGAAAATATAGGCTCTGTCCTGAGGTACGAGACCTAAATAAACAGCAAAGACAAGGGATGAAGGTGATGAATTAGTCAGCACTATCAAAATGACATTAGTTGTATTTCTTCTTAGTTTAATGACAGATTTATTTTATTATAATGTCCCCTCATTACTACTTTTGCATTCTGGGGAGTCTCAGAATCTAACCTGTAATATCAGATCATGACACAAGAGGGAACCTCAACTTAAAGAAGCACTTGAGGTACTTACTTAAACTATGGGGCTGTGTCTACATTGGCACCCTTTTCCGGAAAAGGGATGCTAATGAGACCAGTCGGAATTGCAAATGCCGCGGGGGATTTAAATATCCCCCGCGGCATTTGCATGAACATGGCTGACGCTTTTTTCCAGCTCGGGGTTTTGCCGGAGAAAAGCACCAGTCTAGAAAGTAGGAATAAGAGATCTTCCTTGAAAGTAGGAATAAGGGATCTTCCAGAAAAGGGTTTATTTTCCGCAAGATCCCGTCTAGACTGGTGCTTTTCTCTGGCAAAACCCTGAGCCGGAAAAAAGCGGCAGACATGTTCATGCAAATGCCACGGGGGATATTTAAATCCCCCGCAGCATTTGCAATTCTGACTTGTCTCATTAGCATCCCTTTTCTGGAAAAGGGTGCCAATGTAGACACAGCCTGGTTGTACAAGCCCATGGTTTAAATTTCAGTCAGAAATCCTGGCTACGAGAAACCAATTTTCCATGAGTTTAGCAAGTACAAGCTGCAGAAAGCCAGGTTACTTCAGTTGCTTTGAACTTCAGACCACAGATTATTGGCTGTCCACCTATCAGAATGTCTCAAAGTGCCCAGCAATGTTGTAAATCCCACAGCATTTGTAATATCCTCATCCATCCCCATGAGAAAAAGTATTCTTGTGGATATACAGGCAATAGAAAGTCCTCAGAATGGTTATTGACAGAAATGGTTGATGTAAGGTTGTTTCCTTCTTTGAAGATTTGCTATTCTCATGATAATGGAGGATGAGAATTCTCAATAGTGAAATAGACTCAAGGCAAAACAGTGTATGCTATATTTCCATTTTAAAGAGACAGATGAATGGGGAAAACAAAAGGGCTACGTCTAGACTGGCATGATTTTCTGCAAATGCTTTTAACGGAAAAGTTTTTCTGTTAAAAGCATTTGCAGAAAAGAGCATCTAGATTGGCACAGACACTTTTCCGCAAAAGCACTTTTCGTGGAAAAGCGTCCGTGCCAATCTAGACGCGGTTTTGCGCAAGAAAACCCCGATCACCATTTTCGCCATCGGGGCTTTTTTGCGCAAAACAGTTTTTAGCTGTCTACACTGGCCCTTTTGCGCAAAAACATTTCCGGAAAAGGGCTTTTGCCTGAACAGGAACGTCAAAGCATTTGCGCAAGAAGCGCTGATTTCGGACAGTAGAACGTCAGTGCTTTTGTGCAAAATTAAGCAGCCAGTGTAGACAGCTGGCAAGTTTTTGCGTAAAAGCAGCTGCTTTTGCAGAAGAAGTATTACTGAAAGCTGAAGCACAAAAGTTAGAATACTTTATACTGTTTGGTTGCACTGTACCCATCAACTGTTTTGGAAGCCCACACACAAGCACACTTCAAGACTGATAGCAAATATGTGTACTAGATTATGTTGGTTTCAACTTTTAATCCAAGTATTTCTAAATGTAATTACTATCTCAGGGTATGTCTACACTACAGAGTTAGTTCGAACTAACTTTAATAGGCGCTATACTAGCGCTCCGCTAGTTCGAATTTAATTCGAACTAGCGGAGCACTTAGTTCGAACTAGGTAAACCTCATTTTACGAGGATTAAGCCTAGTTCGAACTAGCTAGTTCGAATTAAGGGCTGTGTAGACCCTTAATTCGAACTAGTGGGAGGCTAAGGCTTCCCAGGTTTCCCTGGTGGCCACTCTGGCCAACACCAGGGAAACTCTATGCCCCCCTCCTGGCCCCGGACCCCTTAAAGGGGCACGGGCTGGCTACGGTGCCCGTGCCAGGTGCAAGCCTGCCAGCACCCAGCTAGCAGACCCTGCACCTGGCACGTCCACGATCTCTGCACTAGGCACAGGAAAGTGGCCGTCTAGGGCAGGAGAGCTGCCAGCCTGGCCACCCCGGAGCAGGTGTGCATGAAAATCAAGGGGGTCCACTGAGACCCCCGACCCTGAGCCCTGAGCTTACAATGGCCGTCCTGGGTCAGACCAAAGGTCCATCTAGCCCAGTAGCCTGTCTGCCAACAGCGGCCAACCCTAGGGACCCTGGAGGGGATGGACCGAAGACAATGACCAAGCCATTTGTCTCGTGCCATCCCTCTCCAGCCTTCCACAAACTTTGGGCAGGGACACCACTCCTACCCTCTGGCTAATAGGACTCCATGGACCCAACCTCCATGACTTGATCTCACTTCCCTTTAAACTCTGTTCTAGTTGTAGCCTTCACAGCCTCCTGCAGGAAGGAGTTCTGCAGGTTAACTATTTGCTTTGTGAAGAAGAACAACTTTCTCTTACTAGTTTCAAGCCTGCTACCCATTCCTTTCCTTTGGTGTCCTCTAGTCCTTCTTTATGGGAACTCAGGAAGAACTTTTCTGAATGCACCCTCTCCACCCAACCCCTGCTTTTAGAGACCTCTATCCTGTCCCCCCTCCGTCTCCTCTTTTCTAAGCTGAACAGTCCCAGTCTCTGTAGCCTTTCTTCATCTGGGACCTGTTCCCAACCCCTGATCATGTTAGTTGCCCTCCCCTCTCCCAGCCTTTCTCTTCCCCTCTCCCACCTCCTTTTCCCAGTCTCCCCCAGTTTTTTTCAATAAAGACAGAGTCAATGTTGGAAGAAACGTTATCTTTATTTTGTACATCAATAAGAAGGGGGGCTAGGGAAGGGTAAGTGGAAGGAGGTGAGGGAGGAATGGGGTACGAGCCCCCGATGGGGAGGACTGGGCTGGCTCTGCGGGCTTCTGGGGGTGGAAGCTCTCCTGCAGCCCCCCAATTACTCCCTCTCCCCAGATGGCAGCCTGCGGCAAGTGCAGCCGGGCTGATGGCCGAGTGGTGTGATGTGCCCAGTGTGGGCACTCAGGGCACTCCAAGCCAGAACTTCTTTGCAAGCGGGGCACCCCTTAGAACTGTGTGTCCGGGGTGGGGGTCGGGACCCTTTAAGCGCAGCCCTCGGCTAGCCTGAGACAGCATCTCCATGCTCTAAGTCCTCCTTTTATGCCCT